CAAACTGAGGTCCATATCAGATAATCACTATCAATGGTATACCGTATCTTGCAAATGAGATTGAACTGATCACTGTCTGACTTCGAGTATCCGGTAGTTTGGAGATTTCAAAAAAGTTGGAAAGTAATCTACAATTAATAAATATATCTTTTAATCTCAAATAAATCTGTCGCAACTTTATACCAAGTAAATTGGGATTTCATGTGGTATCATAGGCTCTCTTATGTTTTTGTTTGGTATTCATACATATAGAACACTTTGAAATTTTATCTTCTATGCTTTCATAAGTGGCCAAAACAAAAATCTCAGCTCTTTTCTTACATTTTTCTATACCAAAATGACCCTCATGAATTAAATTAACATTTCCTTTGCACAGATAAAGGAATAATTACCCTTCCTCCTTTGAAAAAATAAGTCATTTTCCATTGTCAACTCATCTCTGTAGTCCCAAATACTTTGACTTGAGGTTCTACCTGATGTTTCCTTTCTGGCAGCCTCTCAGAATATTTCTTTAAGCACTGTAGTGTAGCATCACATTCACTTTCTTTTCAATGCATAATTTGTCATCAGATGCTGGAATCAATGTACAAATTTCTGTATCTTCATCATTATCTTCTTCTGTTGTATTCAAATATGCTCTACTCAAAGTGTCTGCTATTAATAAGTCTTCCCCCTTTTTGTATCGTACATCTAGATCATATTTTTGTTGCTTTAAAAAGAGGTTTCTTAGTTATGCTTTCTAATGGTCGATGATCAGTTTCAACTGTAATACGTTTGCCATATATATATTAATGAAATTTAGAAACATCCAAAAGTAATAGCTAAAGCTCTTTTTTCTATCTGAGCATATTTTTCTGACTTTTGTTAGAGCTCTGGAAGCATAAGCAATTGGTTGGTTTTCTTGTAGTAAAACAGTACCTAATCCTTCAGAACTTACATCTACTGAAAGAGTTACATCCTTATTAACATCATAGAATTTAATACGGGTGCTTTTGCAATCAGTTCTTTAAGTGTTTCGAAAGCTTTTTGATGCTTTTCAGTCCAGTGCCAGAGAACATTTTTCTCAAGTAACTGTCTTAATGGTGCAGTAATAGTAGTTTTAAGTTAGAAATAAATTTGGCTAAATAATAATCATTCCAAAAATCTTTGTAGCGAAGGCACATCTGTAGGTTCTGGCATTTTAACAATTGCTTCCACTTTAGAAAAAATCAGATTTAGTCCATTTTCACTTAACTCGTGCCCTATATAATTCACACGATTAACTTTTTATTTTACATTTAGCCTATTGAACTTCAATTATTTCTCGTGCTCTCTGGAGTACTTTTTAAGTCGTAGATCATGTTCCTTTTCATTAGATCCCCATATTAAGATATCATCTATAATACATTCAACGCCTTCTAGGACCTTCTATTATGACTTAATTTTCTTTGGCAATTTCTGGAGCTGAACATATGCCAAAAAGTAATCTTTTTAAATTTGTATCTGTCAAAAGGTGTATTGAATGTACACAAAATTACTACTTTCTTCGTCAAGCTGGATTTGCAAAAAAAGCACTGTTAGCATCTAACACAGAAAATATTTTGCGTTAGGCATTCTAGTGACAACTTCGTCAATGGTAACATCGGATAATGTTCTCGTTTTATTGCTTTATTTTAAATCTCTAGGATCTAAAACATTTATTCTTATTTTGTTCGGTTTGACAACTGTGACATTGAATTTACCCATTCAGTTGGTTCTCGTACTTTCTCAATAACATTTAAATTTCCATTCTTGTAATTCTTTCTTAACTTTATCACGTATGCTATGGGTATTTTTTGGAGGATGAATGACTGGTGTTTTACATCTTGTTTTAACTGGATTTTTTATTCTCCATTCAAACAACCTAGCCTTCAAATACATCTTGTACTCTTCCAGTAAGTCTCAGTGTAAACAGACATTACTTTCTGAATCAAATTTAGTTGCAAACATGATTTTAATCCAATATAGAAGTACTTCTTTGTTAATAACTTGGTATTCCACAACATAATTATTTTTTCCATATTGGCAGTAAGTACTCCTTTCCTAAAGTATCCATTTTTTCCCAGAGAATGTAACTAATCTTTTAATTCAGACTTTGTATCGGAACATTTAGCAATTTCACTTTTCTTTTAGAAATAACATGGCACATTGCTCCAGTACTAACTGCAAATTTAGTTTACTTTATTTACATTAACGTCAACAGTCTATTTCTCTTCCTTGTTATCTGAATTAAGGTTTATGTGCCAACAAAATTCTAACTCTTCCTCAGTCATGATTTATTAATTTAATTTGTCTATCTTTTTTGTTTACCTTGACTGCTTCATTTTTTATTATATAGCTTTTACACTGATTCGCGAAATGATTTGCCTTTTTACATTGTAGAGTTGCGCGCCTCCAACCTGCACGCAACCAAGAGGTGACTGTTGAAACTGGAAAATAGACAGAGTCTTGCTAAGGGTTTAAGTCCCTTTTTATTCAACTTAAGAAATTACAATTGCGTGCTCTTGACGCTCACAAACTACGCTGACCCGGCGGTAAAATAAAAATAAGAACCTGAAAATAAATAATAACAAGACTCTAACTTCGAGGCTCTCTAAACGTAACTAACCTCACCGCGTTTTACATACCGCTGCTAATTCAGCAAACTTGAATATCACGTTGAACGATTAACAATTCTCCGAGGCAAGCACACAGGCCGAAAGCGGGGTTCTTCAATTTCTGGCTAACTACCTCCGCGCTCGTGAAGTAAGAACAGCAACCTCGAACTCGTTTCCATTCTATTTACTCAGAATACTTCCGCTGATAATTGAATCCTTGCGCGTTCTACTAAAATTTACATACTCTGGCATTGGCAGTTCCAGGGGAAAGTAAGGCTTGACAGGAAAGATAGTTTAAAACTTAAAATAAATGTTAGTTAAAATAATATAAACCCTACAACATTTATGACAGATTTCCATATGCGGGACACATTCGATACCATGAGATGTTCCACATTAGAACAAACTTTTGTCGCTTGTTTCTCAGTCTTTTAATTTTGTGTATATATTCTTATTATGTTTTACTTAGTTTCTTCTTCACTAAGATTACAACAGTTTCATCTCTTTTATTATTTTCATTTAATGTGCACTTACTTCTGCAGATCTGTATAGATCAAGAGCTTTTTATAATGATAATTATGTTTCATGTAATAATCTCGCTCTCACTACATCATCTTTAATACCACAAACAGTTTTATCCTTTATTAGATTATCCGTTAACTGTGTAAACTCGTATGTTCTAGCTTTATTTCGAAGGTCAGTTACATACTCATCTACGATTTTCGATGCGGTTTGATTTCTAGTAAAGAATAAATGTCTTTCATATGTTATATTTTTCTTAGGAATACAATATTCCGTAAATTTTGTTTTAATTTCCACTTAATTTAATTTCTTTAACCCTCTTCTATAGGAAATGTATTATATATTTCAAGACCCGAATTCCTATTACAATGAAGAAAAGTATTAAACTCTTACCTTCTCTTCTTTATATGTAATCCACTAGCTATTTCATATATTTCAAATGATGGCAGCCATCTCTGCCAATTCGAAGCTAGATTTCCATCAAATTTCATCGGCTCTCCTGGTGGTTTTAAACCCATTTTGAAAAAGCAAAACACTCCTGACACCATATAAAATTATGAGGGTACACTTTTAGCTTTTAGAAACTATTTATTTACAATCTTAGAATGTATAATCACAGAGAACTGCAATAACAGCATAGTTCTATTTTCAAATCTGCATCCAAAGTGTTGCCAATTACAAGTTACTAAATATTAAGTGTTACCATTTACAAATTTTTAAATATTACAAGCATCAAATCAGCGAAATATTCGATTAAGCAAACAATTTTTCACAAATCTTAAGAAATTTAAACATCCATTACATACACTTCCAAAAGCTATCCGCGACATCCGCCGTCTTCAGTTTTGCTCTAAAACGACAGTCAGAAAGTTAAACGGCAGCTACACAGCTGACGGAAAAATTTCCGACTCGTTGATCTTTGTAATGATTGAGACGATGACACGAGACTCGCTCTTTGTCCAGTAGATCGCAAAAAACGACCCAATCTTCCATCTCGACGGTGTCCAGACTAGGGCCCAAAGCCCACAAGGAAATAACTCACCATTCCGAAAATGAACGTCAAGGAGACGTTTTATCCAGTGAGGGCAGACCATAGAAGAAACGGTGTGTAGGTTTTGTGAATATGCGTGCAGCACTTGGAACAAATACACATTCTTGATGAAATCAATTTTCTAATTGAAATGTTAGATTTAATGGAAAACTCTCTTAAATTACTCTTTAGATTCAGAACTCTATGAAAACTTAGTTCCGGAATTTTGGAATTGTCTAAAGTAATCTCAGGCACAAAACGATTAGTATTATCTTTTTAGTTATGCCCCAGTTCCGAAAAATTCACTTTTATACTACACGAGAACAAGTTGTCAGCATTTGCATCAAGAGTTTGAAAATCGTTTTTGTTTTCAGCAACATTAAGCAAATTGCGCTGCTCATATCAGCGCTACGTTTCTTTAGTCATTGTCTTATTAGAGGCCAAGCATTTCCCTACGAATAATGAATAAAATTTCTCGATTGCTTAAAGATTCGTAAGAAATATAAAAATATACGTTTGGCAGCAGTTATCGTTTTCAAAATTAACAGGAAAAATAAACAAATGGATACAGCGCATGCGTAATTTGAAATTGCCTTCAAATTTGAAGGCGCTTATTGTATTTACTATGGAAATGTTTACATGTGATTGCTGAAATTGTATTTTCATTTTAAAATATTGTCCTCTAAATATGGAAAACATCATCGGAAATAAAAGTGTCAGTCCATTGTCGGGGAGTAAGGCTTCGGAAAAAAATACCATCAAAGTAATGCCTCATGAATTAGCATAACCATAATTATTTAAGTTTTTTTTTGATGAAATTTTATGCGTAATTTTTGTTTGAAAATCAGAACTTGCTTCTGTTTGTCATAAATCCAATATAATTATTTTTAATTTTCATGCTATCGGTCGTAATCTGTGTCAAATCTTTTTAAATATAAATAATATATCTTTAAATATTGTATCTCTATAATCTCTTTAAATACTTAACATCCTTAAATATATCATTTTGATCGGTAAAATTAAATCACTTAAACTATAAGTTTGTCAACTGTTATTGAAATATTTCATTTGTAACTTAGTAATATATTTATATTTTTGGTTAGCATTAGTATGCAAGTGATCGGTAAAATTAAATCACTTAAACTATAAGTTTGTCAACTGTTATTGAAATATTTCATTTGTAACTTAGTAATATATTTATATTTTTGGTTAGCATTAGTATGCAAGTTTTATTTTGAAACATTTTTTATGTGCAATTATTATTAGCTACTACACACTGCATAGTTCTAGTATATTAGATACAAAAAATATTTGCCATTTTTGTGATCATATATTTAACTGGGAGACATATTTGTAAAAAATACTTTGGTAAAATCCTAGCATACGGTGCAGCCTTGGCGCGACTTTGAAAATTATCGCCAACACCAAAAATGATCCAAAGAACGTCTATATATATTATACACACATAGTATATGTATATACACACATACTATATATATTATATACATAGTATATACTATGTTTAACTACATATTTTCTTTGAATGACCCGTTAACTACTCATCGTATATGTCCCGTTTTTACTGCTCATCATAAAGTCGCCAAAAGTAGTCAAATCCCGTGTGCACCGGATACTAGGATTAAACTAATACTTTAATTGCTTGGAGTAATTTCAATACTCATTTATATGTAATATCAGCTGCTAAAATAGCAAATGGAAAAATTAATATATATAGTATAGAAGTGTTATAAATCATTAGAATAAATTGTTCTGAGATACAAAACAAGCTCATGTGGTAAATTGCATGATGTTGAGTTTTTGGGTGCTTTACTATATTTGAATAAACCACATTGAATAATCAGTGAACTATTTTATTCCATAAATGTAATTTTGATGCTTTAGTAAGGATTGGAACTATAACTCTTTGATTTATAAAACAACATTTTTGTCTTTGCTATCTTATCATTGGATATTTGAAGGTCTTGATTAGATTAAAAAGTGGTTAGCTAATGCTGCTGTAAGTATCACCTATCACTGTTTATTTATGTTGTCTGAAATACAGTCAAAAGTCGTTAATTCGGATACACATAATCCGGAATGATCTATAATCCGGGCCTCAAAGCTATGAACTTTCTGCACGTAAGACCTTTACGGCTGCGAATATGCGTGTGCGCATGCCCAAAATACGTTTACACAAGCGCGTTTAATGTATAACGGACGGTATAAGCTAAACTAAAATTATCTAATTCAGTTAATGTTGCAGATTGCGTTGTTCCTTAATCTTAAAATTGGATCCAGTTTATTATTTTTTTGCAGACTGTTAGAGCAATTTTATAAAAGTAAGCTTGAACTTTCCATTATGTCAAATAGAATTTCCAATATATATTTGCTAATATATAAAGGATCTACAAAGCGAAAGTATGTTTCAAAGTCCATTAAACAAAAAATGGAATTGCTGCAAAAAATGGATAAAGGCATATCATTTGTTTATCTAACCATTGCAAAATCTGTTTATCAACTTCATGCTGCTCTGCGGCGGGGGGACGCCGCGGCGCGCAATGAATTGGAAGTTGATCTGTCAGCACTATCCTTATCTTCAGGGCAGATGTTTTTGTTTTATTTGGCTTATAATTCCTTACTAAATGTAGTATTTCATCTCGATGTACTCCGTGTTTGATATGATTTAAATCAAATTCCTCGTCATTTATAATTCACTTCCGATAACGAAGAAAGTAAAGTAAACAAATAAATATTAAGCTTTTTTATGTAAATTTTGATACCCTTTAGATCATAATTGTTTTTTATTTCATAAATTACGGTTTCATATTTTTAATGTTATAATTTCTGCATGCCATCTTACCAGATTTAAACTGATGATCTATAATCCGGAAAAATCGATAATCCGGAATCGCCGAAGTCCCGATGAGTCCGGATTAACGACTTTTGACTGTACTGATAATTTTTAGAGGTGATCATCTACAAGAGGGATTTTAAAGAGAAGTTTTATAATATACATGTGTGTGATATTTTAGAAATGGTATGATGAGAGAATCAATTAAGTTGCAGTCGTGGTGAAATAATGATGGTATTACAGTTGATGCAGTTGCAACCAACTGTAGTTATCGGGAAGACTAAATATCCATTTTTGTTTCTGAACAGGAATAATTCTTTAGAGACAGATTTTTTTAAATTGGTATGACATGAAGGGGGCTAAATGTGCACCAACAATTTTATATACGCAATTACATTTCATAACAATGGAAGATACTGCAGAGAGGCAAACAGTTGCTAAGCAACAGAAGAATGGAAGAGAAGAGCGTGTGCATCAAATATCTGGGTTATTTATAAGCTTGGTTCTTTTGTTTGAATTCTAAGTGCTGATTGGATAAAAGCTCACAGCAATGCGAATCTCTGCAGGGAAAGAGTAATGTTAGTGCAAAAGCCTTGAAGGAGATTGTGCTTATATTGAAATCCCCAGAAATGTAAAGGGCAAGTTACTAACTTGTTCCAATTAATTGTAATTTGTTAACAATTTTTCTTCATATTTTTGTGTCTTATATGTATATTTAATTTAATCATAATTTTTAATTTATTGCAGCATTTTAATGAAAGTTTTTCTTTTTTGTGCATATGTATAGTTACCTAATATAAAGGATTTTACCATAATAAAGCCTATAAGCAGAGGTGCATTTGGGTAAGTTATATAATGCAATGTCTTTTTTTATTAGTTTTTTAATGCATGCAATCATTGTGAAAGTGATTAATGTTACATTATAACCTTGTTTTATGGTTAATCTTAGTAGTTTGTATATAGCTGGAATAGAATTAAAAGAAATTTGAAATGTTTCAGATTTTAAATTATGTCTAAAGGGACCTTTTTTTTTAGCGTTTTGTGTGTTACCTTTATTTATTAAATATCATGTTCTTTGCACTTAAACCATAAAATTTAGTTCAATAGCAATGTCACAAAATAATTTTAAAATGAGCATATCTTTAAAATTTCCAATACACAGTTCGACGCGTTGGAGATAAAAAGGTCCCCCCCCCACAGAGTGTTGCCATTGCTCACTTTTAAATCATTGAGTTTGTTACTCAAAAATTCGTTAAAGTTTTACAAAATATGAAATCAATAATGAAACAAATTCCAAATTTCAAATTTGGGATTTTAGATGCCCATATTCGCAGTAGGATTACATCATTCAAAATTGGATGGCTCTAGATACCATTGTTTTATCACAATGCGAGAAATATACATACATTTATGCAGATTTTTCATTATTTAATTTCTTCAAATATAATGCAGGACTCTAACATTTTGTGACAACAGTTTGAAAAGTGAACCGACATTTATTTGGAGTCCGATGCAAAATGCCAAAACGAAAGTAATAGTCCTTTGGGACTTGAATCCCTTTGGACTAAAAATGACTCAAATGCAGAATATACATATGTAAAGTATCCTGATTACATGTTTAGAAAAACACTGCTACTATGACTTTTTCAAATACTCCCAAATTAAAAAAAAATAGAGAGAAATATATGAGATCAGAAGTATCAAATAATCTTTAGTATTTATAAAAATATTATCATATTTTGAGTTTTTTAATTTTATTATTAGAATGCCTCCTCTAAATTCTGCCACCCAGTGTGAGCGCACTAGCTTCGGCGCCCGTCCTGCCCTTATCTGAATAACAAATCGGTCTGAATTTTCACGGCACAAAATGTAATCTTTTGGAATATGAGTATCTTTTGCAAAACCTATTTTTTGCATATAGAAAGAAATTACACTAAATTTCTCCTCCTCAACACTTTGCAGTAGAATTAGGTAAAATCTGTAATTATCGGCAATCATAATGCCAATATAAAAGATTACCATACTCTTTGGTATTGGTGAAAATACTGATTTTATGCATTTTTACATTGGGATTTCCAACTGTTTTTTTAAAGTTCCATGTTGGCGCTCGATTACACCATTGTATTTGGGTGATAAGCTGCAGTGGTGTAAGCTCTGAAACCTAGGCATTTGCTGAAGGATTGGAAGCATTGACTTTCAAACTGTCTACCTTGGTTAGATGTCGACTGAAAATCCAAGACGCGATAAGGGCATTTACGATGGCATCTGCAACTTGGTCTTCCAAAGAAGCAGCTTCAATACACCAAGTGAATCTATCAATTATTGTAAGTAGGTGCCTAAAACCTTTGCAAAATGGTAAAAGGCCAATAATATTGATGTTAAGGTTCTTGAAACGTTCATTTGGAACTTTGAATTCAGCAGCTGGATGACTTTGTGAACTTTGGCTCATTGACATGCCAAACATGCTGTAGTCCACAGTTGATCGTCTTTGTTTATGCCATACCATATGAATCTTTTTTGTCACCAGCTTCATTGTTTCATGAATTCCAGGGTGGGTTAAGTTACATATAGAAAATATATTCTTTCATGAAATATTTTAGGAATGTATGGTAAAATTAGTGGAGGTATTACAGTAACTTTTCTTATTGCTATCTGGGATAGGAATTTATAGTATTTTGAAACTGGAATTTGATTTAAGAATCTTGATGTCGTTATCCTCTTGGCGATCTGCAATAACTGTGTAATTAATTGGAGCTGGAGAGTAGTGATAGTTTCAATTATTGATAGTGTGTCTGCTATGGTATTTTCTTCTCCTGCACCATATGTCTGTAGTGAATTTTGCAATGTAGTTCAGTTGCTGAACTTGTCTTGGAGAGATTTTATCTAAATTCTGCTGGAAGACAAATGTGACAAGTTTATTATAATTGAAGATAGTAAATGATCGTCCTTTCAGAATGTGTTTATATTGCTTTATGGCTAGGTAAATTGCAAGTAATTCTCTATCATAAGCTCTGTAGTTTCTCTGCATTGAGGATAGGGATCGAGAAAAAAAGCTGTTTTCCATTGACATCTGCAATTATAAAAGGCCAGTTGAAAGATTTGCGTATCTCCATATTCGGCTCCAGCAATTTTTGATCAACTGTTTTGACTGTTATACTGTTAGCTGCAAACAGCTCAAGCTTAGACACAGTTCTTTTTTTCGATGGTGATGATAGGATAATTGATATATCTGCTCCAATGTCAATTAAAAAATGGGTTGCTGATGCATTGTCATTAATAAATAGACGACTCAGCTATACCCTTGGTCATAATTGAAACTGAGATTCAGTTTTCTCTTGCAACTGACATTTGCATGGTGGTGGACAGATGGTGGGTAAAAAATTACAAGCTTCCCAAGGTGGATTGAGACTTAATTCCTGTATATCAGGCATTGTCAATAGCTTGAACAAATCATGACTAAAGACTAAATGCTTCACATATTAAGAGGCAACTGTTGCATTCAAGTTGCTAATTTTGCAAAGAAGTTGGGTGATTTCCTGTCACTCAATTCCAATTCAGCCAGAATTTTCAGAATCAGAAAAAATTCCGCTATGCCTCTTTTTAATGGTCAGATATTTGCAGTCATCTGATGGTTTGATAAGGACATTAGTGACTTGTGACATTGTCCCTGCTTCGGTGAAATTGATTTTTTAGACTTACTATGGAAACTTAATCTCTTCGATCTTGTTTCAGCATTCTCATCTGTAGACATTTAATTGCAATCAATCAGTCACTAACGTGCTTACCAGTTGGCAGATTTGTTGCTTAAGGACAGGTATGTTCACAGTATACTGTAAAGAACAAACTCTTTAAACAAACTTAATAACAAGTGAACAGCAGTAAAATAAATGATAAGTTTTTTCTAAAACAAATTCTAATGTTTGCTTTTTATTCTGAACTTTTTTTACTATTGTCACTTGAGCAAAGAAAATCGCAATGGGAAGAATTTGATAGATAGAGTTTCAGATTTTAAGCAGTGTTGCCACATTGCTCATCAGATTAATTCATTTTATTAAACTTATTTCATTTCTAGTTCAGTTTGTATTCTTATCCTTTATATAATTTAGTTAAATATAATTGTGCATTTACCGTTAATTTTGTTTATAAACAAATAATTCATCTTCAGCATTACTGTTTTATGTTCTTTCACATTTTTGTAAAAATTATATACATAGTATCTGAGAAAAAACTAAGCATTTAATTTTTTTCTAAAAATTGATGGTGAATCATTCGCAAAACACTAGCCTATGATGCCTACTGATTGTTAGTTCTGTGTAGCTTTGCTTTACTCAATCGAAAAAGCCATTTGGTACACTTGAAAGATTAAGTAGTACAATGACTTGTAGGCTCTCATTAACCACTTCACTGTTTACCCTGAGACAGACTCATCAATTTTAAAAGTGCCGTTTGGCGTGTAAGATTCCAACCTGTGTACTTTACAGTTGAAGTGAGGAAACTTAAGAACTGATAAACGAATAATCGTTTGAGTTCATGAGACAGAGAACAAAACATCAGAAGGGTTAAATTACCTTTTATTATTCCAAATAAAGTTTAACAGGATTCCTTTCTTGGAGTTAAAATAAAGCCTCCACTCAGGCTTGAACTCAAACTAAGAACTAAACTAATCTAAAAGATATAGCCGAAGCTATCAAGATTCTAACAGTTGTTAGAATCTTGATAGTCCCCTTAATGCTAAATAACAGCGAAGCTATGAAGGGCTTAAAGTGCGGCCGAGTGTAATAATAGCTTAAGAGAGAGAGTAGCCTAAAAAGGCAAATGCACGCAAGTCAGAATCTCTGACTCTCTCTCGAAGTCAGTAGAACTTCACACTTAAATACTTTTCCTCATTTGCATTCAAACACGATTCTGAAAATACATTCTGGCTGGAAGTTGTAAGTAGAAATTCATGAATATAGGAAAGTAACTTTTAACTAAAGATTAACTGTTAGAAAAATTAACATAAACCTTACAGGGGTCAGCAGTGAGACATAGTTATTGAAGCCAAATGTGGTCTGGTTCATAACCTCCGAAAGAGATTCATTGCTTCATGTTTTACAACTCCCAGACTGTGCCAAAAATGCAAAGAGATTTATGGCCTAATTGGTCACACTTACTCCAAAAGGGACATGATTATACAAAGCAAAGTTCACATAAAAAGATGAGTAATAGGAATGCACTTATTTCCCCCTTTCCACTAGCACTGCAATAGAACTTTCCTCGTTTGAAAGTGTTCGTTTAAGAGATCGTCTTTGTTAATTTTAAGATAAGAGACTAGAAACACAAAAGAATTTTTTCTCCTGGATACGGTGACACTATTCAGCATTCTTGAGTGTAACAAATAGGCAGTTCAAGTTAATTTGGCACAAACTTCTAAATAGGTCTTGACAGCTGGAGAAGGGGAAAAATTAAAAATTCTATCATAAATTGAGCTCAGTTTCAGAGACAAAAAGTTTATCTTCGGAGAAAATAAAAGCAGCAAATATTTGAGTTTTGTCAGATGGTAAAGTGGCTAATATATTTATGTATCTTTGTATCCATCATGTCTATTTAAAGTGGTTAGCTACTGATACTGATTGAATTTGGAACTATAACCCCACTCTAACAAACTGTGTGATATTCAGCAATGGTGTGTGAAGGATGAGCTTGCATTGCTTTCAGACTGTCACTCGGTGATCATCATTGCTAAAAAAGAACCAAGGTGTACCAACGACGCACCAGACATTGCTGTTCATGTCCAGGTCTCTTATGACAGCAGTGCAAGTATTTGTGACAGTAGTTTGGTTTTAATGACTGTCTTCAGAAGGACAATTTGATATTCAACCTGTTCCTGTTAATTCATAAGAAATCATTTGTACTGATGTTGAATCATTAAGATCTTATTGTATCTTTCAGAATGTTACTATCTGTGGATTGTGGGGCTGCGGCTGCATGACATTAAATGCATCAGTCTTTGTGTTACAAGATTTATCTTATTTCATCAGTTTTATATAAAATCTAGGCAATTTAACAATGCATTTTTGTCTAATTGTATGTTTTCCTTAGGGATGTGTTTCTTCCCAATATTGGTGCTGTTCAGTCTCAGTCCAATGAATTGTATTTTCTTTATTGTGTTCAAATATTACTTATGATTTTTCATATTATATTTCTGCTGTAGTACAATGTGGAGATTAATTGGCTATCTGCAGGAAATGTTGTTTCCAAGTTATTTTCATCCCTTAATCCCTTAATTCAGAAAGCATAAGTAAAAGGAATATTCATATTCTTGTAAAAATCTCAAAGTAACATGAATAAAATGTGCATTTTCTACCTCTCTGTGTGTGAGAGTATATAGTTATACGATATTCATGCCATTTTATTAATTACATTTTTTTCCCTTGTCTTAAATAGAAGGAAAAAGCATCAATGTAAAATTTAAAATTAGCAAAAAAGCAATCCTAGATTGATGTAGATAAATTCACTTCTTTTCTTCAGAAGCAGAAAATCACCCCCCCCCCACCCAGAAGAGGGCTCAATTTTTTTTTTTTCCATCCTTTGGCCCAGTTTAAAATTTTCTATTTTTTTAGGAAAGTTTTCCTGTGCCATAAGAATGAGAAGCCTGATCAAATATTTGCAGTAAAAGTGATGAAGAAGAAAGTTATGGTGAACAAGAATATGATGAAACAAGGTAAATTTTGGATTATTTAAATTCTCTGTAATTGTAAGTCATGGTGCATAGACATACATTTCTGTAATTATATATTATAAATCATGTTACACACACACACATATATATATAACATGATTCACGATATTATAAATAAATACAGTCAAAAGTCTAATTTGGACTCATTGGGACTCCGGCGATTCCGGGTTATCGGTTTTTTCGGATTATAGATCATCAGTTTAAATCTGGTAAGATGGCATGCAGAAATTATAAAATTAAAAATATGAAACAGTAATTTATGAAATAAAGAGCAATTATGATCTAAAGGGTATCAAAATTTACAAAAAAAAGCTTAATATTTATTTGTTTACTTTATTAAGCATTTCTTTCAATGCGCGCATGCGTAAATATGCATTTCAATTACGCATAGTCGAAATTAGAAAATTCCAACCTGAAAACTATTTGATGTGTATTTGTGATATTTATAATGACGAGGGATTTGATTTAAATCATATCAAAGATGGAGTACATCGAGATGAAATACTACATTTAGTAAGGAATTATAAGCCGAATAAAATAAAAACATCTGCCCTGAAGATAAGGATAGTGCTGACAGATCAACTTCCAGTTCATTGCGCGCTGCGCCGTCGCCCCCCCTTCCGCAGAGCAGCGTGAAATTGATAAACAGATTTTGGAATGGTTAAAGAAACAAAGGATATGCCTTTATCCATTTTTTGCAGCAATTCCACTTTTTGTTTGATGGACATCGAAACATGCTTTCGCTTTGTAGATCCTTTGGCAGCTTCAGAATCGGAAATTCTTGTTGACATAGTCGAAAATTCAAGCTTACTTTAATAAAATTGCTCTAACAGTCTGCAAAAAATAATAAGCCAGATCCAATTAGAAGATTAAGGAACAACGCAATCTGCAACATTAACTGAAATAGATAATTAGCTAGTTTTAGCTTAGCTTATACCGTCCGTTATATATTAAACGTGCATGTGTAAACGTATTATGCGCATGCGTAAACATATTATGTGTTTACGCATGCGCATAATACGTTTACACATGTTGTTGACACATGTTGTTTACACATGTTGTTGACTTCACAAGATATGAAGAAGCGGTTTACGCATGCGCATAATACATATTATGTGTTTACGCATGCACAGAAAGTTTGTAGCTTTGAGGTCTGGATTATATATCATTCCGGATTATGGATGTCCGGATTAAAGACTTTTGAGTGTATATATATATATATATATAATCACTGTATTAGTATTTTCCATCAAAGCCATACCACTCTGTGCTTTTGTTTTTGGCATAAGGTGTCACAAGTTTTGTTTGCTGGATAGATTCTTTATTGCAAGGATTTACGATTTCACAAGATATGAAGAAGCGGTTATTGTTTTTTTTTCTTTTTACAGGAAAGAGATGCACTTCAGAAAAGAAGGCCATATTCAGATAACTGCCTCGTGAAATTAATATGCAACTCAAAGCTGAAATGACTGTGTACACTTTGCTTATGTTGGGAAGAAAAAGGTGTCTAAACACAAAGGAGTTTGTTGGATCATACATTTCTTTTATCACTGCAATATGATTCATTTACTAATGGTGTTAAACGCTAATGTTATTGAGTTCTGTAAACCAAAGCTTACTTTAAATGAATCATAACATAGTTGATTACATTACACAATAACATAACATTGATTGGAATCATTGCATAAGTGAGATATGTACCTATTCCTTGTTTTCTCATCATAACTTTAAAATCGATAGACACAACAAAATTATGCATTTTCCTGAACATTTATTTATAAAAAGAAAATAATGTCATTGAGACGTTAGGTTTTTTTTTAAACCAAAAGACATGAAAAATCAGAAAAGCCTTCGCAGGGATTTGAATATGTGCCGAGTGTGCTACCATTACACCACAAAGACATGCAAAAAGGAGGGAGAAAGTATATTATAATATAAGCATGTTCTTCTGCCACAGTGAACCTTATACCTGATGAGCTGTGAACTGACATCCAGCCTTCATCTGAGATTTCTGAACAATACAGATTGATAGAATATTGTATCGATGCTATATCATCAAACAAAAGGCACTCATGCCAAAAATCAAGGCTATCCTTGATATCTTGGCAGCACACAGGCTGGATGTTTAGTTTTAGTTTATTTAATTACGGCAAAGCACACTAGAGCTATCTGCCTAAGGTGAGGGATGCCTTCGTGTTTCCCTTTCTAAGAGAAACTGGCTCGTATACATGTTACACATGGGGAAAACCACAAAAACGCCCATGCAGCCAGCCCGTTCTCGGGATTCGAACCTCGGACCGAACTACCAGTGTTCAGCGACTTTACTGTTTGGCCACTGGTGGGCCCTCACAGGCTGGATGTGTAGGATGCCAATTTCTCCCTTTTTGCAGTTGCACAGTAGATCTTCATAGTAATTTGCAGTTTTTTATTAAAGAAAAAAAATCTCTCCCACTATTATTCCTTTATATTTCTTGCTAAACCACAGCACGAAGCAGATCCTAGCTTGGGGAAAGCATGGAACAATACCTATCTAACTGTCCAATATGATGGTAAAATACTGGTGTTTCCGTCTTCTGTTACCTGCCACATTATGTTTCATGTAGTACCGAGCCAAAGGTGGGGTGGGCAAAATGCATGATATTGCTTTGAGTGAAAAATACTGTATTATGTCACGTTGCATTTATTTTTAGTTTTTCATGAATTTTTATGTCTTTGTAGTGTTAACTGAGAGAGATGCCTTGGCCCTTAGTAGAAGCCCTTTTGTTGTACAGCTTTTCTATTCTTTGCAGTCAAAAACAAATATATATTTGGTGAGTATTGATCATAGATTTTAGAAAATTGTGATTTATTGGGAATTTTTTTTTATGTATCATTTACTTACTTATCGAGGCATGATATGAAAAGAAATATTGCGATTTTGAAAGATATAATTCTACGTTGTTTTATAGCTAATTATTTTATTATTCATAATTTTGCAGTGCTGAGGAAGGAAGGAGGAATAGGTAGGGCAGCCTATTTTTTTTCCCATAAAAATGTTTGTGTAAGTATACACAGAATAATCAGTGGGAGAGACAAACAGCAGTAGTTAAGAATGTGTTCTTATACTGATAATATTTGCATGTAAAAAAACAACATGGAATTTTATTCTTCTATTTTGAATTTCTAGTTTAGCTTAATTGTTGAGACTAATGGCTTTCAGTACTTTAGTTAACTAACATTATGAACCTTAAGTATTAAGTCTCAGATTTGAATTAAAAAAAATTTTTTTTTTAACGAACTGAACAAACTGACTTCATGCTTTTCCTCCTTTAAGCATAAAATCAAAATTTTAAGTACAATTTTGCATAGAATGTTTCTTAGTGGATGTGATGATAGCAGTCTCTGAGCTCAAAATCTGAATCTTCATAGTAATTTTAATTCTCTGTTGTATGCAGTTATACACAATGTGTATAATCTTCACTTTGTATTATAAGATGACAATGTTCACATAAAAAATTTTATGTGCCAAAATAAAATACTTACAGCATTGAAATTCTATCAGTAGCCTTTGTCATGTGGCTATTTATAATTATGCCTCTTCTCCCAAATCTTTCAGTCAGCTATTTAATACAATGGTCGTAATTTTCATCAGTTAAAGGTAAAGTTGCTAGTAGAGTTTCATCTGGCTCTGGCTAGCAATGTCTCCAACTAAGTAAATTTCTCGATTTTAATTAAGTTACCATTGTTATAAATAGCATTTTCAAATTGGCTCCAAATTAAAAAAAAAAAAAAAAAAAAAAAAATGGAGTCACCATAAAATTTTGATAATTTCAGCATATCAGAAATATTTGCAAAACTCACTTCACTACAGGTTTCTGGACTAATTCAATAGACTTTTTATTTTATTTACTTTCAGTTTCTGTAATAAAACAAGAAACTTTCCCTTTGTTAAATACAAAGGCAAAATTTCACATTTTATTATTAATAGTTAAATATTATTTTTTCAGAGTATTCTTTGGATGCTAAAGCTTCATCTTCTGTAGCCTTCACGTCAGTGAACTTAAGTATTTCTTTACCTAATGATTTTAAGCTATTCTTTTTACTTCCTTGTATGAAGTAAAGAAAGTATTGTAATCACAAAAAATTCCAGGTATCATATTTCAATGAAAATATCCATTTTGACATCTATTGAATGCAATTTGATGATCTTTTTGTATAACATCTGCACGTAAGGACAGAACAAAGGACTCTTTTTCTCCAAACAAATTATGAAACTGATTTAAAATAGATTCAGAAGAGATTTTTTTCATGGCGTCTATATCTCGCATAACTCAAAAACAAGTAGCCTCAGAATGTTGAAATTTTGTGCATAGGACTGCTGTAATATGTAATTGTGCACCTATCTCTTTCGTTGCAATTGGCTGCACTAAAAGAACACTCACTGGTGGCCATTAAAATTGCAATACCATGAAGGAAAGCAAGTACAAAATAGATATTTACTGCACATAAACAGTATGGCATGAAGACAAAATGATTAAATTTGTAAGCATTTTCGAGGTTTACAGGAATGCGAAATTAGTAGAAACAGCTGCCATCCCTGGCAGCTAAAATGGCCCTTACCCCATTAGGCATGGAGTCAAACTGGGCTTGAATGACAGAAATGGGCAACTCGTTCCATGCTGCTTCAAGTCTATGCCACACTTTATCAACCATATTAGCTGGAGAAGGGTGGTGGGATAGTTTCTCAGATACCAATGACCAGATGTTTTCAATGGGTGACAGATCTGGAGATTGTGCAGGCCAGGGCAGCAGTTGAGTACCCTGTGTATTGAGGAAAGTCAGAACATGACATGCAACATGTGGTCTTGCATTATCTTGTTGGAAGATGGCATTCGGCATGTTTCGAAGATAGGGCACAACCACTGGACGTAAGATGTCAGAAATGTAAATTACCGTCGATATGAACTAGAGATGTGTGTGTTGTGCACCCAATGGCTGCCCAAACCATTACATCAGGTGCATTGCCCTTATGTCAATACTGAATGCAAGCAGACGACGTGCGGTTACCTCGGACACTCCAGACACATATACGGCCATCAGAATACAGCACGTAGAAACGGGACTCATTTGAAAAGATGACATTGTGACACTCCTGTACCTAGCTTTGTACCTAGCAGAGTCACCGTCTCTCTGTTCTGCATTTTCAAGGGAAGCTGAAGTAATGGTCACATTACTACAAACGTCGATGCACCTTACGAGCTGATACTGGGAGTGCTGCAAACATGAACATTTCCTGGCTAATTGGCCATGATGTGGTCATATTGTTTTGGAATGCTGACCTCACAATATGTCTGTCCTCTCTGGCATTAGTCATGGGGCGTTGAGATCCTGTCCCGTTCATTATTACCTTCAGCAATCCATTTATTCCATATTCGCATGACAGTGGTTGGATGTCGACCAATGCGACTGGTGGTATCACGGAACAATAATCTGCACTTTCGATAGGCAAGGACACTGCCTGCATCGAATTTTAAAACTTGCTGGTAAGCATTTCCTCTTCTTATTCGAGGCATAACACAATATTCCGAGCAAACTCCAAACTTCCAAAGCACTTTCTGAACAAGAAATCCACTACACAATTTTCCTTTTATGCAGTGCTTCAGATGCTGTTTCTCCCTCCTGCATCATCTAAATGGGCTAAAATACTAATCACTTGCATATCCCAACTACTTCTTCCTTTCATGTGATTTTGACGTTCGTTAGATCGTTCCTTCCTGGTGATCCAATTTTAATGGCCAGTAAGTGTATATATATGTACAGTAATTTCTGGAAAAAAGGCCACATCAGTGTAAATGGCAGGAAAAAAATTAAAGTTATACAGAAACGCCGCATCAGCGTAAAACCCGCAATAGATTCAATTGCACGTGACATCGTCGTGGGCCATATAGATGCACAATCTCAACCTAAGTCATGATATATGACATATCAGTTAAAAAAAATGTATGAAATGAAACCATAACTCAAAAATAAATTAAAGGTAAGAAATGTTGAAAATATATTTACATTCACGTATATACTTATATTTACCCACTAAAGAAGTCCATGTTTGTAATACTCAGACTATATTATAAAAAATGTTGCAACAATGAAATATTAAATTTGGATGACAAAAGAAAATTTTTAATTTTACTTACAAAAGGAATTACAGCAAACTATACATCATATAAAGTCATCAAAATCTGATTCTTCACTATCTGAATTAAAAAGATTTAGTAAATCCTGATTTAAGTCTACCTGATAGTCACATTCATCCTCTTGGTTTACAGTCTCTTTATCTAAGGATATAATTTCAACTTCTTTGAACCCTGCTATTATTGACAATGTTTTTACTGATTTCCACGCACTTCCTACCCACTTTGCAACTTCTTCATAAGATGCATTTTACCGCTTTTGGTATATGCATGCAATCCTTCACTCATCCAACACTCCCACCGCTTTCGGACTTCAGCTTTGAAGGATTTATTACCTGACAAATCTAATGGTTGTAAGATTTTTGTCAAACCACCAGGAATTATTGCCACGGTCGTAGACAATTTTTGACATCTGGTTTTCACCGACTCAAGTAAATGAGCACTCATGGAATCTATTATCAATAACCCTTTTGGTTGGAAAAAAGATCCCTTACGACATTACCAAACTTTTTGTAGCCACTCATGCATGATTGTTTCGCACATCCAGCCGTTCTCGTTTGCACATATAATTACGTCATTAGGAAAATCTCCCTTCGGAATAGTCTTTCGTTTAAAAATGATCATCGGCTTTAGCTTGTCATCGTTCGTGGCACAAGCTAACACACATGTAAATGATGTTCTTTCATGCCCCGTCATAAGCACAGATACAGTTTTTGTACCAGTTTCATCAACAATTCTGCAAAGAGTCGAAAGCTAACGGCGTTTCATCCATATTTTTTATCTGTGACCAAAGAAGTTTTTTTTTTTTTTTTTTTTTTGTCAATAATAACTGTCACATATTTTAGAAAAAGATGCCTTTTTATCCTGCCAGTCCATTGGTAATTATTTTTCTAGTACGCACAGAAATATTTTTTCTTTTCATAAGTCTGCTACACCAGCAAGGCCCTCCTTTAAAATCATTTATGTTCATTTGGTTTGCTATAAATTTTGCTTGTAAGCGAATTTTTACAATCGAAATTGCCATTCCGTTTCCTCATTGCTCCTTTATCCAGTTTGCAAGGTCGTCCTGTAGATTCGGCCACCTTACAGTACTACTTCTTTTGGCTCGTTTGTGTTGTGGCATATTTTTAAGAAAGTTCTTTTTCAGTTCTTTTTCACATCTCTCGTCCACTTCAAACTCTCGAGCTGCTGCTCTATTTCCAATTTGTTCAGCATGTTAAATTACATTAATCTTAAAACCAGCAGTATAGATTCTGTGCTGTTCAGGTGCCATTTTCAAAAATTTTCCGCTCCCTTCTTACAAAACAAGTACTTCTACCCAAACTGATGGGATCTGTATTTGGCAGAATGCCAAGAAAAATCGATTCATGCAAAAGGGGAAATACGTCAGAGTTTGTTATTGTGACGCAGTTGGAGTCGTGTCCGCCTTTGAAACAAATTGCAGAAAAGGCAGGGGTGGGGAGAGGATGTGTCCTGGAATGTTCATCGAATGGTAGAGGAGAGAGACTATTCAAACTGATGAGAATGTTGATTTGAAAGGAGGAAGAATGTTATTGTTCTGAGATCCAATTTTAGAGTGAATAAGGCATGTAGGTCCGTTCAAGGGAAAGAATGTAAACAAAATAACGTTCGCAAAAAGCAACTGAGTGGTCGTTTCTGTGGGA